TAAAGAAGGCTAGGGTTACAGTTCAGGGGTCAGTGGTAGAGCACCTGCCTAGAATCCCCCCAGTGAGGGGCTGGAGGCAAGGCATAGCTCAACAGAACAAAGTTTGTCTAGCATTCATGAGACCTGGATTCAATTCCCAGTGTGGGGAGGAGAATCCCTTAACTACACCTCCTGCCAGTCAGAGAACTGGGGTTTGGGGCATTCTTTAGTGTACACTTTTTTTTTTTTTTTTTTTTTTTAGTGCTGGGAGTTAAACACAGGACCTTGTGTTGATGGACAAGCATTGCCACTGTGCTGCACCCCCAGCAGCTGCTTCACTTTGACATTAGCCAAGACATCATGGGAAATGGGAGAGGAGCTCATTGGCTCATCGGGCTTTGGTTCCAGGATCCCTAGAGATGATGATGATGAAGTATGAATCACAGCACTAACCAGAGCTTAATTCTCAGAACACTGTCAGTGGGTGGTTATGGTTTGGCTGTAAAACGTCCCCAGCTGGCTTATGTGTTTGAACACTTGATCCTCAGCAGGTGGTGCTGTTTCGGAAGGTTGTGGAACTGTCGCGATGAGTGTGTATTTGTTACTTTCACCTTTGCTGCGATAAATACCTGACAGATGTTAATTGAAGTAAAAAAGGAAAGGTTTCTTTTAGCTCAGAGTTCAAGGATATAGTCCACCATGGTGGGGAGGCACAGTTGCAGAAGCCCGAGGCGGCATTGCATCCACGACCAGGAGGCAGAAAGACATGAATACTAACACTCAACTTGATTTCTCCTTTTTATTCAGACCAGGACCCCACCCATAGGATGGTGTCACCCACACTCAGGGTGGGTCTTCCCTCCCCACTTAAGCTCTCTGGACATGTCCTCAGAGATACACTCAAAGGTGTGACTCCTAGGTGATTTCTATTTTTTTTAATTCTTATTTTATGTATATGAGTATTTTGCCTGCATGTATGTAAGTGCACCTGTATGGGCAATGCCCATGGAGGCCAGAAGAGGATGTTGGATCCCCTGGAACTGGAGACACAAATGGTTGTTAGCCACCAGATGGGAGCTGTGAACCGAATCTGGGTCCTCTTCAAGAACAGCCAGTGCTCTTAACTGCTGAGCCATTTCTCCGGTCCCTAATTTTTCTTTTCTTATTAATGGAGACAAAGTCTTGCTATATAGCCCAGGCTGGTCTCCAGTTTGTGATCCTCCTGCCTCTTCCTCTTAAGTGTTGAAATTATAGATATACAACACCACACCAACCAACCCTGTCATATATGTTAAGCTTATCACCATTCTGTCATATATGTTAAGCTTATCAAGTCAAATTCATATGCTTTTATAAAATACATTTGCTTATTTTGTGGGGTGGGGTTTGCACATGTGCCATGGAGACAGTGTGGATGTCAAAGGACAACTTGTTAAGTGTTGGTTCCTTCAGATCATCAAGCATGGTGGCAAGCACCTTTACTTGCTGAGCCATTCCTCTGACTCGCACTTGCATAACTTAAAGCAGAGTTAGGGTTAGAGAGATGGCTCTGCAGTTAAGAGCACTGGCTGCTCTTGCAAAGAACCTGGGTTCAGTTCCCAGCACCCATGTGGCAGCTAATAACTGTCTGTAACTCTAGTTCCAGGGGATTCAATGCCCTCTTCTGTGGCCTCTGTGGGCATTGCATGTATATGGTGCACTTACATACATGCAGGCAAAATGCTCGTACATATAAAATGAAGATAAATTAATTTTAAGAAATTTTAGTGTCTCTTTTTTAATGTATATGTTTATTGAATTTTTGTGCATTTCATACATCTTAAATATAATTAGACTCCCTCCCCTATCTGCCCTGCCCATAGCCTGCCCACTGGATTTCATGCATTCTGTCATATATGTTAAGATTATCAAGTCAAGTTCATATACCCAGATGTCCCTTCATATGAGTTCATCTACTGGAGCCTGGTCAACCTAACATCACTCCCTTAAAGAAGACCAATTCTCCTTTACCCAGCATTGATCAGTTGTCAATAGAAGGTTGGGGCTCTGGCCCATTTCCCCAGTTCTGTGATAGATTTTGGTGTCATTGAGTTTACATGAGTCTTGTTCATGCTATCACTGTTGCTGTAAATTCATATAAGCAAGTTCCCAGAAGCCTGAAAGATTCTGTTTCCTTGTGGTCATGCACTGCCCCTGACTCTCACAGTCTTTCTACCCTCCTCTTTTGTAATGGTCCCTAAGCTCTGGATTGGTGAGGTTTACTACAGGAGTCCTATCTAGGGACATGCAGTCTCTTAATCTCCACACTTTGGCCAGTTGTGGCCTTCTGTATTCACCTCCCTCTGTTGCATGAGGGACAGTTTTCTGGTGAGAATGGAGAGATACATTAGTATCCTCTCTACCCCTAATTAAAATTTTTAAAAGAATTTTAGAAAACAGGATTTCATGTAGCCCAGGCTGGCTTTTAACTTGATTTATAGCTGAGGATGACCTTGAACTCCTGATCCTCTGCTTCCAACTCCTTAGTGCTGGGATTATAGGCATGTACCCTTATGCCATTTATGCAACACTAGGAATATGAAACCCAGGATCTGGTGCATGCTGTGTAAACACTCTACCCAGTGCTCCACACCCCCAGAATCCCTCATAGACTTTAGAATGTTCCTAATGAGCTGTTTTCCCAGACAACGGAGGATACCAGAGATCAAAGAGTTAAGCAATAGGCCCAAAATCACAGAGCCAGAGAATTCCTAAAAGCCTGACTCAGAAAGCCAGCACTCAGAGGAATCACGTGGATCAGCCCAGAAGGCAATGGATCACTCACCAGTGAATCATGATACTGTTTGCTGTTCCCTTTCTATAAAGAGAACGCAACACCTCGCTTCCAGTAAGGGCTGAAGAAGATGATGCATGCAAAGTGCTTAGCACAGTATTTCTGGCACAGAAATTCAGGTAATAGGAAGAATTATTATTTAGCCAACTGGAGCGGCTATTCTCCAACAGTTCCATTACAGCCTATATGTTACAGTTGAGGCATAACGGAAGCAGCTCTTGTTTATTCTGAAGACAGGATTGTCTGACTCTAGGAACACCCACGGGAGCTTCGTGAGTCAGAGAGATAGAAAATCCATTGGATTTGACCATGAACTCTTTCAGGACAGGGTAATGCTGTAGTTGTCTCTGTACCTCTGTGTCTTCATTATTGACCCTTCTCATCACTGGGACAAAATGTCTGGCACAAATTTGGATTTTAAAATTGGGCTAGACAGAGGGGCATGGTGACACACACATTTAATCCCAGTACTCGGGAGGCAGAGGCAGGAGGATCTCCATGAGATCGAAAAAAGCCTGGTCTACATAACCAATTCCAAGCCATCTGGGACTACAGGGAGAACCTGTCTCAAAAAGAAAAAGAAAAAAAATGGGCTGGTGATATACATCAGTGGGTACCAAGCCTGATGACCTGAGTTCGAACCCAGGGACCTACAGGATGGAAGGAGAGAACTGACTTTCACAAGTTGTCCTCTGACCTTCCCACAAGCAGTGAGCATTATACCACCATAGCAAACCCCACCCCCCACAAATAAAATGTAATAAAAATTAAAAATAAAACAAAATAATAAAAAAGTGATATTTTAAATGGGATCTAGTAGTGCATATCTGTAATTCTAGTACTTAGGAGGTAGAGGTAAGATGATCAGGAGTTCATGTGCACATACCCACACACATACACACACACACACACACATATACATAATTAAAAATAAATCTTAGGACTGGAAAGAGGGTTCAACAGTTAAGAGCACTGGCTGCTTTTGCAGAGGATCTAGGTTTGGTTCCCAGCACCCACATACATGTCGGCTAACAACTGTCTATAACTCCAGTTCCAGGAGATCTGACACCCTCTTCTGGCTTCCTCAGGCACTGTGCCTATGTAGTACACTCACATACATACAGGCAAAACATTCAGACACATTAAATAGATATAAATAAAAATAGTATAGGGAGGGGAATAGAACTGGCACTTGCAGTTCTCCAGAGAGACCTTCCTATAGGTGTGGTGACATGTGTCTACAGTCCTAGAACTTGGAAGGTAGAGGCACGAGGATGAGGAATTCAAGGGGAGCCTTAATTGTATAGTGAGTTCAAGGCCAGCCTGAGCTACATGAAATTCTTTCTCAAAAGAAAAGAGAAGTGGAGAAAGACATGGAGGGAGGAGAAAAAGAGAGAGAGAGAGACAGAGACAGAGACAGACAGAGACAGAGACAGACAGAGAATAGAACTGGAGCCCAGAGTGGCAGGCTTCTTGCTCCAAAGCCTGGGATGGAGCCCACCAGAGTTAGAATCTTGATTTCTGGCAAGATTTCCTTTAGTGCTGATCTGAGTCAGGTCCGGATCAACAGCAGACTTGGGAGGACTTAATTCCAAGTCAAAACCCCAAGAGCAGACACTGTGGGGAAATACCTAAACAGTTCTCTTCAAAAAGCCTTTTAAAAATTACTTATTTATTTTTACTTTATGTACATGAGTGTTTTGCCTGCATGTATGTAAGTGCACCATGTGTGTGCAGTGCTGGAGGAGAACAGAAGAGGGCACCAAATCCCTTGGAACTGGAGTTACAGATGATTATTAGCTGTCATGTGGGTCCTGGAAACTGAGCCCAGGTCCACTGCAAGAGCAGACAGTGCTCTTAACCAATGAGCCATCTCTCCAGCCCCTCAAGAAGCCTTTCTGAGAGTTCCCCTGATAGCTCCTATCCTTCAGGCTGTTCCTCTGGTCCTGATTTTGTGATTGAGGATCTAGACCAACAAGTGGGAGGTATGTGCCCTGGATCTGGAACTTGGATTGCCTGCTCTCTCTTGTACAAGGTTCCATCCCTGTAGACCAAGTCATTCCCAAGAATGGAATGGAATGGAATGGTATGGTCATGTCTGGATGAGTTTGCTTTCAGAGCTAGCATTTATTAAGAGATGGAGTAAGGCGGGGGGTGGGGGGAAGGGTCTCCATGTCCAGCCTCAGGTCTAGAGGAGGGTAAGATGGGTCGAAGCAGGGATCTCACAGCTTTCCTTGTGGTCCTCGAAGAATCGGCCCCAGAGTATGCAAGGGGAAAATCCTATCAGTTTCTTGAAGGCAATTTGCCACCGACACTGCCAGCTGTTTTTAGTAAGAGTCTTCACTCTGTAGAGGTCATTCTCCACAAAGGAATATATAGGCACTAGGGAGGCCCTAAGAAGGATGGCAAGAGAGAAGGGGCTGGTGATATGGCTCAGACGGTAAAGGCACCTGCCACCAAGCCTGACAACTTGAGTTTGATCCCCAGGACCCACGTGGTAGAAGGAGAGAACTGACTCCTGCAAGTTGTCCTTTGACCTCTCCATGCATGCACCCTATCCATGCTTTGTGTGTGTGTGTGTGTGTGTGTGTGTGTGTGTGCACGCGCGCACACGTGTTTGGGTATGTGGGGATGCACACACACACATATATATATATATATATATGAAAGAAAGGAAGGAAGGAAGGAAAGAAAGAAAGAAAGAAAGAAAGAGCGAGAGAGGAAAGAAGGGAGGGAAAGAAAGATGGAGGGAAGGAGGGAAGGGAAGGAATTAAATACCAGGAATGATGGTGGCACAGGCTTTTAATCCCAGCACTTGGGTGGTAGAGGCAGGTGGATCTCTACGAGACCAAGGCCAACCTGATCTACATATTGAGTACCGGGCCAGCAGGAGCTACAGGGAGACACTACCTCAAAATAAAAGAAGATACTGTAAAGCATCCACACTCACCCATGCCTCAACGCAACTCGCAGGAAGCCTTTGCGTCTCCAGATGCTGACACAGTGCTCCCCTCAGCCCAAGTAAAGGGCTTCCTGAGCACCCCCAACCATGACCACTGCCTGGCTGAGCTGGGGCTGTGACAGAATGAAGTCCAGGCTCTGGCAGGTCACAGGACACAGCCCTGTGGACATGAGTAAGTGGAGCATGATCATTATTCCTGCCCCAGATCCCTAACCCTCATCCCATTCTTTGGTATTAAAAGATCAAGTGCCCTGTTCTGCCAGCACACCAGACAGTGACGTCATTCATGGTGTGCCCCTGTGACATGACCACTGCTCAGGCCAGTTCTCTGTCCCAAATTAGGGGGCCTGTTACCAGAGGATCTTGCTAGCTATGGGTGGGATGCCCTGTGATCCATGGATACCTCCACCTTCCAACTTGTTCTAGTTTCATTCTGTTGGTGAGTGTTGAATGAAGAAAATACTGACCAGAAGAAACTTAGGGGAGGAGAGGGTTTATTTCAGCTGACAGGTCAGCACATCACTGAGGGAAGTCGGGGCAGGTGCTCAAGTAGAAACCATGGAGGAACACTGCTTGCTGGCCCACATCCTGACTGTTTTGTTTTTTGTTTGTTTTTATCTTTTTGAGACAGGGTCTCCCTGTAGTCTCAGCTGACCGGAACTCACTATGTAGACCAGGCTGGCCCTGAACTCACAAAGATCCACCTGCCTCTGCCTCCCAAGTGCTGGGATTAAAGGCATGCACCACCACACCTGGCCTCTGACTGTTTTTTTATTTTTTGTTTTTGAAACAGCATCTTACTGTGTAGCTCTGGTTGGCCTAGAACTTGCTCTGTAGACCATGCTGGCCTGGAACTTACAGAACTGCACCTGCCTTTACCTCTCCAGTGCTGGGATGCAAAGCATGTGCTACCATGTCCAATTTAGCTAGCTTTCTTTTTTTCTTATTTTATGTGTATGAATGTTTCGCCTGTGTGTATGTAAGTGCACCCATGTCATGCAAAGCCTGCAGAGGTCAAAAGAGGTGATGGATCCCCTAGAACTGGAGTTACAGATGGTTGTTAGCTGCCATGTGGTTGCTGGGAATCAAACCCAGGTCCTCTGGAAGAGCAGCCAGTGCTCTTAATCCCTTAGCTAACTTTCTAATATAACCCAGAACCATCTGCCCAGGGAATGGTGCCACTCACAGTGGGCTGGGTCCTCTTCCATCAACAATCAAAACAGTCCCCCACTGACATACCCAATATCTGATCTGGGCACTCCTCCCTCAATTGAAGATTCCCTTGTCAGATGACACTAGACTGTGACAAGTTGTCAGTGAAAGCTAACTAGGACAAGGCTTACCAAGGAACATGAGGTATTCTCGATAAATAGGAAGATGGAAGAGGCCAGCCAATGTGGCCAGCCAAGGCTGAAGGACAGGAAAGACCTTCGAGGAGTCATTGCTTTTGCTGACAAAATTACAGAAGATTCCTGTACACATAATCCCGTGGGGGTGGGCCCCCAACACTTAGTTCCAGTTGGCAGGCAGTTATGCAGTCTTCACCAGCTTCAGGGTGTTGGGAAAGATGCCAGGAGGAAAAGCATAGAATACAAACAAGATGGGGGCTGATGAGATGGCTCAGTGGGTAAAGGCACCTGCCACTAAGCTGGAAGACCTGAGTTTGATCCCTTGGTTCCCCCGCCATGGTTCAAGAAGAAAGCTGACTCCCATGAGATGTCCTCTGACTTGCACCCAAGTGCTGTGGCATGTGCACGTGTCCCACCCCCAAAAATAAATAAAAGATGTAAATAAATAAAATTAAAAAGTAAATAAAAATAAAATAAGAACAGAAGATGGCAGCTGGAGAGAACTGTCCTCCACCTCACCAGGGTTTCAAAGTTCAAGGTCCTACGATGGGACCAAGGGCACAGGGGACCAGAGTTCAGGATGAGGAAAGAGAGCATGTGGGGGCAGAAAGAGGAGGCTGCCTTTTAAAAGGATTTCCAGCAGGCATGATGGTGCACGCCTTTAATCCCAGCACTTGGCAGAGAGGGACGCGTCCTGTAAATTTGAGGCCAGCCTGGATTACGTAAAAAAAAAAAAAAAAATCTGGCCAGCCAGGACTGCATAATGAGACCCTGTCTAGAATAAATAAATGAATAAATAAATGGGTAGCCCATCGCCTTGAAAGGGAAACAATCTCTTTGCTATTTCCACATTTTCCACTTTTTCAGCGACTGTAATTGTTTTCCACCTGCAGAGAGAAGGGATTGGGATTGAAGAGTTCCCTGGAAAACCATATCCCCAGGGCAGCTAAGTGCTTGCAGGACAAACCTGAGGACCCAAGTTCGAATCCTTAGAACGCTCTAAACTTCCAGTGGACAATGGGCCACCTGTAATTCTAACTGCAGAAGATGGAGACAGGGGATCCCCAGAGCAAGCAGGCTAGTGAGAGCCATATCAGCAAGCTCTGGGTTTGATTGAGAGACCCTGCCTTAGTGAATAAAGTAGAAGAGGGATAAAGAATGAATCCTGACATCAGCCCCGGGGCCCCACATGCACACAGCACACACATGTACCCTGAAAGGTGTGTGCCTCAACACATTAAAAAAAATATGCGTGCACATATGCACATTCAAAATAGCATGTATATACATGTGCACATTCAAAAAAATCCATACAAACAAATGCACATCACATACACACACATGAAAAATGAAAAGAAAAACAAAACTCAACATCTCCCCAATCTCTCAGGACCCTAGGACCTCTGTCTAGAGCTCACCTCGGCTAGGTGTCTCCCAGTCCAGGATCTCCCACACCACGTAGGGGAAAGAGAAAAACCAGAGCCAAGTGGAGGAAGAGAAGGAGAAAGAAGAGTGTGAAGAAAGGGCTTGGGTGAAGAGGGAAAGATATTTGGGCTTTTGCAATGTAGTCATTCATTCAGTATAACCCGTTTCCTCCCCCTCCACTCTTGTCCTGCTGGGCAGCCTGCCATCTCGGCATCTCTTTAGATGCCCCAAGCATCAACTCTAGCAGTCCAGCCGTATCCCCCAACCTCCACATAAAAGATTTTTTTTTTTTTTTGTATTTTTGAAGCAGGGTCTCCGTGTAGCCCCAGCTGTCCTGGAACTCACTATGTAGAACAGGCTGGCCTTGAACTCACAGAGATTCGCATGCCTCTGCCTCCCAAGTGCTGGGACTACAGGCGTGCGCCACCACGCCCAGCTTCTTTTTTCCTTTTAAGACAGGGTCTCACTGTCTTGTAGCCTTGGCTGGCCTGAACTCAGAATGTAGACCAGGCTGGCCTCCATCTCACAGAGATTCTACTGCCTCTGCCTCCCAAGTGCTAGGATTAAAGGTATGGGCTACCACACCTGACTCTATTCCCTTTTAAATCAACCCTTGTGCCCCCTCCATGCCTGCTACCCATGCCTCTTCTGACTCTTACCCATGAATATAAAACCAAACATATATTGTAGGCAGCCAGCACTTCTAGCAGAGTTTTCTGTGAAGGCAGAGGAGCTGTGGAGACTTTCATTCTAGTAGCTTCCACTGTGTGTTCCTGAGACTCCAGGAGCCCAGTGAGCTGAGGGTGAAGGTTAGGCATGTGCTCTTAGGTCACCACTGGAGAGGATCAGATGTTGAACCTGGAGCCCCAAAACTTTTCAGGCATCTTCTTGAACTGATTGCTGAACTTCCTTGGTCAGTGGGTCTGGGCAGGTAGGTTACTGGGCTGGGCTGGGAGTTAGGGAAGTGGATGTGTAGGAAAGGGGCCACACTCAACTCTTGGGTGACTGAGGAGTTCATTCAGGGAGTGAACTTGAAGCAAATGCCCACCCACTGAGTCCCTGGCTTCGGTGGGTGCCTAGAGATTGAATGAGACTTTGAACCCCCAACACAGCAGGGGCAGAAGGCAATCTGTTTACAGGTCTCTGGGAATGTCCAGGCTCCCAAGAACAATGGGGCCCTGTGGTTCATCTCCATCTCCCCACACCCAAGTACAAATACACAAACACTGCAGGTCTGTTCCTACCTTTAATCCCATTCCCTGCTCCTGCCATCACCCAGGGGACAGGGCAGGGACAGGATGCAGGGCCACATCTAGGTGAGAACTAGGTGCTGGTGTCCAAGGAGTTTTGTTTGCTTCAAACAGTTGTGTGAGGCTCTCCATGTACAACCTCTGGAGCTGGTCCACCTGCAGCTGGCTGGGCCTCAGAATTCACTGCACTGGAATGGAGGGGCACTGTGGAAGGACTATAAGGGAAAGGGACTGATGGCGGAGATGTCCCCCCACTTCTCCCCAGCAGGCATCGGCCTGGCTGGAGAGTTCAAGGTCAGTTTGCGGGATGAGTGCCAGCCAATTGTGGACTAGAGAGCTAGGACAACCAAGCTTTACAGGAAGATGTGTCTGGCTGGGAGAGGATGGCTCACCAACAGTGTGAATCTGCACACTGAAGGGTAGCAGAGCCAGCAGACCATGGAAGAAAGGCTGCAAAGTTTCCTGTTACCCTTCGTACCCAGGAGCCTGGCAGGTTGGGAAACTTGGGAAGATTTCATTCTCTCCAAATGAGAAGACAGGAACAAGGGAGGCCCTGGGGGAGCAGGGGCGCACACATACGAGGCGCTGGAATTGGAAGCCAGGCACACTTTTCGTAGAGGAGCTTCTGGTGGCTATTCCCCTGCAGCCACCTGCCCATTCCTCACCTGTGTTCTAGGGCCAACTTAATGAATCCCTTTTGATTCCCGAAGTCCAGACTTTGCCTCCAAAGCCTCCAGGGGATCTCCCACTGCCAGGACTGCCATCTGGTCACCCCCAGGGTGTGACAAAAGTTAGCTAAAACTGGCCTTGTCCAAAGAGACCAAACTGGCAGGAGGAAGGCTGGGGAAACTGGACATCAATCACCAAGACTGATAGATGTGAGCCATGGAGCCCTCCCAGCGTCCCCCCAGGACTAGAAGGGGTGGCCTTGTGGTCCCTGAGGAGGAACTTCCTTACCAATAGACTTAATGTAATCTCGAAGAGAGGTATTTGGAACCAACAGGGCAGCATGAGCAGGTGTGCCTGGAGACCGGGAAAAACGACAGGGAAGCCTGTGGCCTTTGTACAGAAATTGCCAAAGGCTCCAACAACCAGGACCCCATGTGAACCCAAAGAGGTAATTTTGAGACAGACTCAGCTCTGCAGTTTTAATAAGCTGGAGAGTAGAGCATTTACCAGTGAGGTGTGCCCTTGGGGAGTGAGGGGAAGGATAGCCATATTCTGCAACCTCATCTATCCACTCACCCAGTGAACCTTCAGAAACCCTCACCCGGATAGGAAAGCAGTCATGGAAATACCTCCAGATCGCCCAGTTGCTGACCCAGGCAGAGCAGGGTCCCTCCTGTCCTGGGTGTATGTTTGTCTCTATAGTCAGACCAAATAAAGGGTTCAGGCCTGGCCTAAGGAAGCAAAGAACAAGGCCCAAGACACAGGCTGGAGGACAGAGGGGAGAGGCACACTCAGAACCCAGGTGTTTAGGGCCAGCGAGATGGCTCAGTAAGCAAAGGTGCTTGCTACCACACCTGATGACTTTGATTTGAGCCCTGGGTCCTACATATTGGAACAACAGAACTCCATGCCCCATGACAGGTCCATGCCCTCCCCACACCCCCAAAATAAATAAATTTATTAAATTTTTTTTTTGTGTGTGAGAGCTGGCCTGGATTCACTACATAGACAAGGCTGGCCTCAATCTCATCAGCTTCCCGAGTGCTAGAAAAAAAAAAAAAATTAATGCCAGGTGTGGTGGAGTATGCCCTTAATCCCAGCACTCAGGAAGCAAAGGCAGGCTGATCAAATTAACCTTCCCTGCCCTCTGGCCCAATCTCCTAGTACCATGGTATTCAGGCCCTAGTACCCCAAAGATCCCTATTTTGTTTCCTTGGGGTCATGGGGCCAGTCTGTCTGACTCCAGGGGCTTGGAGGACTCACCAAGTCCAAGAAATGAAAGAAGCCATTGCAACACAGCTGGACTTGGAGGCTTTGATGCAGTCTGGATGAGGCCTCCACAACTCCACAGGAGAGTCGGACAGAGGTGACCCACAGCTTAAGCACACACTTCCTTTTGGCTCAACCCACTGACTTTGACCCCTGGTCCTGGTCCCACGCCCAGTTCTCTGACTTAAACACTGAGCCATGTGAACCAGGGGCCAGGCAGAACAGTTATTCTCTAAGCTTGCAGGATTTGACCAATTATGTGGTTTAGGGCAGAGCAGCGGCATGGCCAGGAACCTGGGGCAAAGTGTTTGAACCCCACAGCAATTAGGGCCTCAGGCCTGTTAACAAGCTGGTGGAGCTTGGAGACCCTGTCATGAAGTCATTACTTTACCAGAACACGCTTGAAAACCCTACGTTACTGCCACAGTCTCTCATTTATATCATCTTCCCCAGGCTGTAAGCAATAGAACAGCTACGGTGTCCATGGGGACAGCCCTCCTGGATTTCCTAGTGCCCAGCTGTTGTCACACACCATCTTCAGGGCATGGCACCATTAGTACCATCTTAAAATCAGAGCAGATGTGATGATACACACAAGACTTACACAAGACCTATCATTCATAGCAAGAAAAGGGTGGAGAGTCTGGAGAGAGGGCTCAGTGGTTAAGAGTACTGGTTGCTCTTGCAGAGGGGCATTGGGTTCCCAGCATCCACTTGGTGGCTAAAAACCAACTAATAACAGTTCCAGGGCACCCAATGGCCTCCATGGGCATTGCATACACATGGTGCACTTACATATATGCAGGCAGAACATTCATACATATAAAAAATTAACTAAAATTAAAATATATTATTATTATTGTTAGTCTTTTTCAGACAGGATCTCCCACTAGCTGTAGCTGGTCTGGAACTCGCTATGTAGACCAAGCTGGCCTCGAATTCACAAGGATCCACCTGCCTCCGCCTCCCGAGTGCTGGGACTAAAAGCATGAGCCACCATTCCTGGCTTGTTTATTATTTTTATTTTATATGTATGAGTGTATTGCCTGCATGCAGGTAGGTGCACCCATGTCATGCAGTGCCCAAAAAGGTCAGAAAAGGGCGTCAGACTCCCTGGAACTGGAGTTACAGGTGGTTCTTAGCCACCATATGGGTGCTGGGAATTGAACCCAGGTCCTCTGCAAGAGCAACCAGCACTCTTAACTGCTGAGCCATCTCTCTAGTCCACTAAAATTAAATAAAAATATTTTAAGAGTAACAAGCCAGGTGTGGTGGCGAATGCCTTTAATCCCAGCACTAGGGAAGCAAAGGCAGATCTTTGTGAGATTGAGGCCAGTCTGGTCTGCATACTGAGTTCTAGGCCAACTAGTGTTACAGGGAGACCCTATCTCAAAAAAAGTGACAAGAAGGCTAGGGAGATAACTCAGTAAAGTGCTTGTCTTGCAAGCAAAAGGTCCTCAGTTTGATCTCCAATACATACATTAAAAAAGGGTGTGAGCCAGGCGTGGTGGTGCACGCCTTTAATTCCAGCGCTCTGGAAGCAGAGGCAGGCAGATCTCTGTGAGTTCAAGTCCAGCCTGGTCTACATAGTGAGTTCCAGGACAGCTGGAGCTACAGGGAGACTCTGTCTCAAAAAGACCAAAAAAAAAAAAAAAAAAGCAGGGCGTGGGCAAATTTTTGTGAGTTCCAGGCTAGACTGGTCTACATAGTGAGATCTTGTCCAAAAAAAAACCAAAAAACTAAGGCTGGGTGTGGTGGCACAGGCCTTTAATCCCAGCACTCGGGAGGCAGATGGATCTCTGTAAGTTCAAGGCTACATAGTGAGTTCCAGGACAGCCGGGGCTATAGGGAGACCCTGTCTCAAAGACACCAAAAAAAAAAAAAAAAAAAAAAAAATCTACACAACAAAGTTTGGCCAAGTCTCTGGGTATAACTGAGCTACTGAGCAGCAGAGGGGGGCTACATAGACTCCCCTAAGGGACAGAGGTGTGACTACATGGTAGAGCACCTGCCTAGAATCCCCCAGTGAGGGGCTTGGGGGTATGGCTCAGTGGTAGACAGCTTGTCTAGCATGTATAAATTCTGGATTCCATACCCACCACCATACACACACACACACACACACACACAATTAAAACTAAACTTTTTTTTACTTAATATTTTAAATTTTATGTGTATGCGTGTATTACCTGCATGTAGGTAAGTGCACCCGTGTCATTCAATGCCCGCGGAGGACAGAAGAGGTTGTCAGATAGTTGTTAGCTGCCATGTGGGTGCTAGGATTCGAACCTGGGTCTTCTGCAAGAACAACCAGTGTTCTTAACCACAATATTTAAATATTTGAGTCTTGGACTCAACAATTACAAACACTCCTTTATTGAGAATAAGGCTGAGGAATCTTAATAATTTATCAGGCAGGGAACTCTCACAAGCCTATTCCCCATCATCCCTTAGGGGCCAGTGGGAAGGTGGTGGAGAACTCCAAGTGCTTCCCAAGAGGGCTGTGGGTGGGGGCAACACATTCAGTCCCAGGCACACAGACATACACTTAGGAAGTGAGGAGAAGGGCAGAGTCCTCTGTCTCTGAGGACGGGGACCCAGCCCCCACAATGAGGCACAATGGCAGCAAAGGTTTGGCAGAGTGGTTGAGCATCAGGGGTCAACGAAGGACACCATGATGTATCGAGTACCCCGGGTGGTGGGCAGGCCCTCGTGGTAGTGGGTGAGGCGGCCGGGGTGCAGGAGAGCCCAGCCTTTCCTTGGGGATGAGATAATGCAATCGTAACGCAGGAATCGGCAGCCACCTCCCTATAGGGGATGAGAGGGGGCAGAAAAGTAAAGTTAGCAGCCGTGGGAATGAGAGATGTCAATCAAGGGCTTGGCAAGGCAAAACACATGGGCTATGTGGTGTTTAATTTTTTTAATTTTTAAAAATTTATTTTCCTTTTATATGTATGTTTGCTTATATGTAAGTAAATGCACCACATGCATGAAATGCCTGTGGAAGCCAAAAGAGGGTGTTGGATCCCCTGAACTTGGGTTACAGGCAGTTGTGAGCTTCCATGTAGGTGATAGGAACTGAACCCAGGTCCTCTGCAAGAGTATCCAGTGTTCTTAACCACTGAGCCATCTCTCCAGCCCGATTTTTTAAAAAAACTGATTTGTGTGTGTGTCTGTGTGTAGAGAGCACACATGTAGAGGGGTGTAGAGAAGTGTAGAGGCTAGAGGACAAATTTGGGGAGTCAGTTCTCTCCTTCCATCTTGTAGGTCTCAGAGATCAAACTTAGGTCCTTAGGCTTCTAGGCAAAATTCCTTTACCCACTGAGCCATCTCCCATGGTGGTTGATCTTAACTGTCAACTTGATGGGATCTAGAATCTCCATGGAAGAAAGCCTCTAGGCATGTCTGTGAAGGAGTTTCTAGACTGAGTTAACTAAGGAGGGAAGACCCACCCTGACTGTGGGCAGCACCATCCCATGGGCTGAGGTCCTGACTGAATAAAAAGGAGAAAGTGAGCTGAGCACCAGCATTCATCGCTCTGCTTCCTGACTGTGGATGCCATGTGAGCAGCTGCCTCACGCTCCTGCCACCATGCCTTCCCACCATGGTGGACTGCACCTTTGAACTGCCAGCTCAAAAGTGGCTTTCTCCTTACCTGGCTTTTGTCAGGTATTTTGCCCCAGCAACAAGAAAAGTAACCAATACAAACACTGGGAGCAGCGGGTAGGGGAGGCAGCCAACCCAAGAGATAACACCTTCAAAGTAAACTGGGACATAGGAGAAGGCCCAGCCAGAGGCTGGGAAGGCAGCTAAGGGACAGGGTGGAGAAACAAATTGTGTGTGTGAGGCACTCAGCAGTGACCTGGGGCAGGAAAGTGCCCCAGACTTACCTCATAATCCACACCCTTGTGATTGAGGGCAACGTTAAGGGTGAAGGTGGAGGAGTCATGGTGTGGCCGGAGAGATGGCTGCTCATCAGGCCGGTAGCGGACCACGAAGTTCATCACTGCCCGGGTCTGTAAGGATAGGAGGAAGAAACTGCAGGGAGGGCAAGGATAGCAGGGAGTCCTCTGTGTGTGTGTGTGTGTGTGTGTGTGTGTGTGTGTGTGTGTGTGTGTATGTACTAGAAGTTGATGTTGGGTGTCTTCCTCTATCAATCCCTACTCTATCTATCTATCTATCTATCATCTATCTATCAATCATCTATCATCATCAATCATCTATTTATTGAGACAGGGTCTCATTATGTAGACCTGGCCGGCCTGGAACTCACACAGATTGATTGACTGATTGATTTACTGATTGATTGATTGATTGGTTGGTTGGTTGGTTGAGAGACTCTCATTACATAGTCCTGGAACTCACAGAGATTAACTGATTGATTGACTGATTGATTGATTGATTGAGACAGGGTCTCACTATGTAGCCCTGGCTGGTCTGGAATTCACTCACTATATAGATCAGACTTGCCTTGAACTCACAGAGCTGCCTGTCTCTGCCTCCCAAATGCTGTGATTAAAGATATGTGCCATCATGCCCAGCCTCTATCTTATTTTTTGAGACAGTCTCTCACTGACCCTGAAGCTTGCTGATAATGCTAGGCTGATTGGCCAGCAAGCTCCATGGATCCATCTCTTTGCCTCCCCCAGCTGCTGGGATTATAGCCACGCCCAGCTTTTTAAATAGGTGCTGAGAATTTGAATTTAGGTCTTTATGTTTGCATGACAAGCACTTTACCAAATGAGCTATCTCCTTAGATCCATTTTTTTTTTTTCTTTTGAACAGGGTCTCATGTATCCCAGGCTGGTCTCACTATGTAGCTAAGAATGACCTTGAACTCCTGATCCTCCTGTTTCTCAATTCCAAGTGCACATAGGAATGTGTCACCCTTGAACTCCCACCACTGGTATATCTGGTGCTGGGGATGGAACCCAGAGCTTTGTGCATGCCAGACAAGTACTCTACCAACTGACCCACATCCCCAGCTCTTCATTTCTGGGTAGGGTTTTTTTTTTAATTTCTTTTTTCTTTTTTTTCTTTTTTTTTTTTGTTGAGACAGGATCTTCTTGTAGCCCCAGATAGCTAAACTGGAACTTGCTATGTAGACGAGGCTGGCCTCAATCTCATAGCCATCTACCTGTCCCTGCCTCCCAAATGCTGGGGTTAAAAGCCTAAGCTACCATGCCCGGCTGATTTGTTTTGAGACAGGGTCTCACTGTACAGCCCATGCTATCCTTTTATCTCTGGATCTTCCCATCTCAGCCTACCATGTGCTAGGGTTACAGGTGTGTGACACCACACCCAAGAACCCCACTGTTAACTATAGTAAACCAGCCACAGGGCTCAGCTTGGCAGCTTCCTTCCAAGCACATACCAATCCTGGGCCCCAATTCTATGGAACACCAGTTGCCACAGAGGCTCAAGACAGGGTCTATGTGGAACCTTCTGTTCTGGATGAAGGTGTGTAAAGGGGGAGATGGCAGTGATTGGGTCTGCCTACCTTGGTGTGATAGCCAGGAAACAGGTGCTCAGTCATGGGCCCCACGTATGACCTCAGTAGCTGGAGCCACTGGTCCTCATACCCCACCTGCTTCATGTGGATGTCCACAGTGGGCACATTCTCATATCCTCCTGCCAGCCTGGAATCCTGCAGGCAACAGACATTGAGATACCTTCATTCCTCAGCTATCCCCCATTCCCTCGAGGCACAACACCAGCCTCTTTCTGTGGTCTCTAGGCATAAGGCTTAGTTCCTTCCCTCCATCTGAAAACAGTGTTACGGGGCTAGAGAGATGGCTCAGCAGTTAAAGAGTACTGGCTGCTCTTGCAGAGGACCCAGGTTCAGTTCCCAACACCCACATGGAGGCTAACAACCATCTGTAACTTAAGTTCCAGGGGATCTGATACCCTCTTCTGGCTTCTGAGGACACTGCACACATATGGTACACATACATATATGAAGGCAAACACTCATACACATCAAAAAATAATAAAATAATTCTTTAGAAAAAGTGTTCTCAATGTTTTGGTAATAAAAAGTCTGCTCTTCTAAAAAAAAGAAAAAAGAAAAAAGAAAACCACCTATATCCATTTCTTTTGGAAAAGCCCATTTCCTAGACAGACAAAGTATTACAATGTGCAGCAATGTTTTGGTAATAAAAAAAAGTCTGCTCTTTACTAATAAAAAAAAAAAAAAAAAAAAAAAAAAAAAGTGTTCTGTCCCATTTGTTAGCCAGGTTCACTACTGCTGGGTCTTTGAGTCTCTGCTAAGTTGTCACCTCTCCCATAAATCCCTCTAACCCTCTGACATTTAGGCCAAACTACCTTGCTTGGCTCTGGCCAGAGGAATTTTCTAATATACTCACACTATCTACACCTTTGGCTTGCTAAAAAGGGACTCTGTGTGATGGATCCCTGACTTTCAACTTGACAGGGATCTAGAATCACCTGGAAGATAAGCCTCGGGGCATGTCATAAGGGACTCTCTAGATTAGGCTAACTAGGGAAGACCTGCCCACTGCAGGTAGTTCCCTACAGGTTGGGATCCTGGACTGAATAAAAAGGAGACATCAAGCTGACCACCAGCATTCCTCTCTCTCTGCTTGCTGACTATGGATGGGATGTGAGCAGCTGCCTCACACTCCTGCTGCCATGCCTTCCCACTATGATGGACTGTGTCCTCAAACTGTGAGCCAAAATAAATTTTCTTTTTAAACTTGATTTTGTCAGGTATTTTGTCACAAGACAAGTAACTCGTATGAATGAATGAATGAATGAATGAATGAGTGAACAAATGAAATGTCATACTCCTAGGCTCCCTTCTATATCCCCATTCCATCATCCCTCCATCGTCCCCAGCTTGTCCCTCCTTCCTCCCTGTCACCCCTCACCTCATGCCGGCCTCCTGACCACTGACCATAATGTTCCATTTCCTCCACCAGCTCATCACACATTTGCTCTGTCAGCAGTGGGAACCAGTACACATCTGGGCATGGCTGGGGACAGGGTAGAGAAACCAGGGATACAGTCATACAAAGCAGCAGGTAGTGGGGAGAATGCAGGGAGGAGAGGAGGTAGACAGGAGAGGAACTTTGACCTTAGCTCCCTCGGTAGCTCTCCCCACCACTGCCACCCCCATCTGGTAGGGGAAGAGTAGCCAGTGAAGAGGCCTGTGTAGAGAGCAGGAATGGGGTACAGATGGCAGGACAGGCAGTGATCTTTTCCTTCATGTTTTTTTTTTTTTTTTGTTTTTTGAGAAAGGGTCTCTTATATCCCAAGCTGGACTCAAACTTACTATGTAGCTGAAGCTGGTCTTAAATTCTGATCTTCCTGCTTCCACTCCTAGAGTGCTGGGATCAGGCATGTACCACCACACGCTGGTTTTATTTGGTGTTGGAATTGAACCTAGGACTTTGTGCATGCTAGACATGCACTCTACCAACTGAGATCTCCAGGTTGTCTATTAATTTTTTATTTTATTTTTTTGGTCTTTTGAGACAGGGTCTCCCTGTAGCCCCAACTAACCTGGAACTCACTATGTAGACCAGGCTGGCCTCGAACTCGGAGAGATCCACCTGCCTCTGCCTCCCAAGTGCTAGGATTAAAGGCATGCACCATCATACCCAGCTATCATTTTTATTTAAATTTATTTATTTTTATTGTATATATGTGAGTGTTTTACCTACATGTATGTAAGTGCACCACATGTGTGCAATGCCTGTGGAGGTCAGAAGAAGGCATCAGATGGCCTAGAACTGGAGTTATGAAGGGTTGTTAGCCATTATGTGGCTGCTGGTAAATGAATTCGGGTCCTCTGCAACAGCAGCCAGTGCTCTTAACTGCTGAGCCATCTCTCTAGTCCTGTATTTATTTTCAGAAAAGGTCCCACTAAGCAGCTCAGGCTGGCTTTGAGGTTGCTATGTGTCTAAGGCTGGCCTTGAACTCCTGACTGTCCTATCTTCTTGTTTCTGCTTCCTGAGTACTGGGATTAAAGCTGTGCACCACCACACCTTTGTTGGTTTTCATGTGTGTGTGTGGTGTGTGCATGTGTGTATGTCTGCATATGTATGGATTTGGGTTTGTGCAAATGTGCATATGTCTGTGGAGCCCTGAAGATGATGTTGAAATCATCCTTATTCCACCTTATTCACTGAGGCAGGGTCTCTCAATCAAACCCAGAGCTCCCTAATATGACCAGTCTCACTAGGCAACTTGCTCGGGAGATTCCGTCTCTACCTTCCACCCAGCACTTATGTGAGTTCTGGAGATCTTAACTCTGGTCCTCATACTTGCATGGTGAGTGCATAACCACTGAGCCATCTCCTCAGCTTCATTTAGTTATTTATCATTTGAGACATGGTCTTGCTATGTGGCCCTTGTTGGCCTGGAACTCACTATGTAGTCCCAGCTAGCCTAGAACTCTCCATCCTCCTGCTCCAACTTTCGGAATTCTAGGATTAGAGCATGTACCATCAAGTGTGGCTCTTCACCTCTCTCTTGACCTGGCAGCATCATCAAACCCCTGGGAACTCAGCTTGGAACCCACCAATCCTGGTCATGGTCTTCCTGGGAGTAGCTCACCTGTTCCACCAGCCCCTCTCCATCCAGGGCCCGGCTGTAGTTTTCATGTATGTACTGTTCTCTCCAGTCCTGTAGGGAAGAGTTCGGACACTTGAGTGGAGACTTCCTCAAGCCCAACCCTGGGCTGCTCCTCTTATGGTAGGTCCCCACTTACCACAGGGTTGTCAAAGATCTGCCAGAGGTCGGGGTGCAGGTGATCTGTGTCATACCGGGATGTGGCCAACAGCCTGCCAAACTCGTGTTGATTGCTGAGATGGAGAAAGATGCCCTGGTGTGGGGCAGGAGGCGGGTATGTGGAGGATTGTGGGAGGCTGTGGTCCCAAACAACATCAGGTCCCCAGGTCCTGCCCCCAAGCCAACCTCCCCACTCACCTTGTCCCGAAGGCTCTTACAGAAGGCCATGTCTGGGTCAGTGTCACTGCCTGAAAACACCTCCTTCTGGGGCAGCTCTGTCCTCAGGGTCTCCCCTCGGATCAAATACGCCTGGGATATGTAGGGCACATTCCACAGGCCTCTGCAGGTACCCGAGTTCTGGTCAGCCAGATGGGCAGTACCCCCAGTTTCTGCTCAGTTTACTGCAACAGCTCCTTCTCTTGGGGGTACCCCAGGTCCCCAAACCTGAAGTCCCTTCAACATCCTTGATGAACATGACCACCCAGTCCATAACCAATCCCTACCCATAGCTATACTGTGTCTACCACATGGACCAGGGACCAGTGGAGTCTGGTGCCTGTGTGGGACACCCCAGTGGGACTTACACTCTTTTCCGCTGCACCAACTCCACATAATCCTCGGACCGAGCATAGTATTCATCAGGACTCAGGGCACCCCAGAAGTTGGACCACAGTTTGCCATGACGGGACAACATGGGGGCTATTACCTTCCTGTGGACAAAACAGAAGGGAGGGCTAGGCAGGGGACCTGGGCCAAGGAGGGACAAAATTGTGGCAGCCCCTGTCCCCTCGAGGATAGGGTAGAACTCCTGGACTCTCACGGGGTTCAACAGATGACTAGGGTGGGCTACCTCATTTTGGTTTTTTAATTTATTTATTTGAGTGTTTTGCCTACATGTATGTAAGTGTACCTGTGCATGCAATGTCCAGAGGCCAGAGAGGATGTTTGATTCCCTGAAACTGGAGTCACAGACAGTTGTTAGTTGCCAGTTAGGTGCTGGGAACTGAACAGCCAGTGCTCTTAACCACTGAGCCATCTCATCTCTCCAGCCTGTATTATTTATTTATTTATTTATTTATTTATTTTGGTCTTTTTGAAACAGGGTCTCCCCATAGCCCCAGCTGGCCTGGAACTTACTAGTAGACCAGGCTGGCCTTGAACTCACAGAGATCCGTCTGCCTCTGCCTCCTGAGTGCTGATCTGTTGTTTTTAAATTTTACTTATTTATTTTATGTATATGAGTGTTTTGCCTACATGCTATACAATGTACCCATGCTGTACAATGCCTGAGGAAGCCAGAAGAAGATGCTGGATCCTTTGGAACCAGACTTTCAGATGATTGTTAGCCATCATATGGGTACTGGGAACCAAACCCAGGTCCTCTCTAAGAGCAACCAGTGCTCTTAACCACTGAGCCATCTCTCTAGCCCTCTTGGGTTTTTTTGAGACAGGGTGTTATTAATGGCCTCAAACTTTCTATGAAGATCAAGTTGGCTTTGAACTCAAGAGATCTACCTCCTGAGCACTAGGATTAAAGGTGTGTGCCACCAAGCCTAGCTTGGCTACCTGTTTTGTTCGATCAAGATGTGTAGTGTCTCTTGGTTGGTGAGGACAGCATCTGCATCCAGGCTGAAGTAGAATTCACACTCAAGATCCTGCCGACAGCTGTCCCTGGAGGAGACCAACCAAAAGATGGAGAGATATTGCCCAAATGGGACTCCAAGGTGGGGTAAGAGGACAGTGGGATGGGTGGGACTCTCCCAACCTTGAGTAAAGGACAACAGAGGGATGTCTCCTTCCCCAGGGTCTCTACCATCAGTGGCAGTTGATGAGGGAAAGGAAGTGTAAAGGTTTGTGGAGACTCACATGGCCATGTCCCTGGCCTCCCCGGGACTCAGGGCCTCCTCTGGCCCCACCAGTTTGGAAGTTGCAAAATGATCTTGGAGCTTTGGCCAGGCATCTGCAATGTGAGGTTCATGGTATACCTCCTAAAAGATGGGATGAGAGAGGGATGAGGGGTGATTGAGGGCAAAGGGATGGTGCCTAAGGGATGGAATAAGGGGTCAGACAGATGGGAAGGAGTGTGGGGGGCAGAGGGATTTGGTGCCTCACATTGTTGTGAAGGAAAATCGAGATTCTATCAGGAGGGTAATCCAGGAGCAACAGCCGCTGAAGGAAGCGAGGCAGGAACGGCATGGGTTGTTCCACAAACACGGCCAAAAGCACCCGGGGGGGAGGCTGCAGGACATCACAGGACAAGGCTTACAGGAAGCCCAGGCCTCCCCCTGCCCAACCCTCACTGGCTACCCTGCCAGATGAGGGACCCAGGAGCTTTGTACTTGAGGCCTTGAAGCCTGCTCACTCCCTGACCACCTCTCTCACCTGCCCCCCCGGGAGTGTCCTCTTGTCTTGGCTGCAGAATCCACAGCCTCCTTGGGGAGTCCAGCCATTGGGGACATAGTTCCCCAGGTAGTTGAGCTGCAGCTGTTAAGATATGGGGTGGGTGACTCAGGTGGAAGACTCCTAGGACAGATGCTAGGCAAGTTGGGCTTACCACAGGGAAAGGACAGAGTGAGGAGGAAGTGTCACAGCACATCTGATGCTGGGACCGAGCATGACTGACCGTTCAGAAGGGCTGGGGGTGCCCAGGGCTTAAGGCAGGCAATGGATGAGGGCAGTGGGAGGGGGCACCTTGGTGGGACCGTTTCCATGGACCACAACAGGAAGAGTGTCATAGGCCACATTTCGGATGCGCACACGATTCCGGTCAAATTTTAAGACCACCTCATCTGAGGAAGAAAGGGAAGGGTTTAAAGCCCCTTTATTTGGGAACTGCAAAGCAATAAGTTCTTTACATGTTGGGGCGCCATCTTTTCTAGGGGACAGAGAAGTGTGTGGGTCAAAAGGTCCTTGGGTTTTTTTTTTTTTTTTTAACTTTTAAAAAAATGTATTGAGAATTTCATACATGCATATAAGGTGTTTTGATCAAATCCACACCCACTCCCTCCCATCTAACTCCTCCCCTAACTCCGGAATTTGGGGGTTTTTAAAGTTGCTGTTAAGCTGCAATTTTATTAACAAATTTTTTAAAACATTTTATTTATTATTTTTATTTTATGTGTATGTGTGTATTGCCTGCGTGTAGGTAAGTGCACCCATGTGTGCAATGCCCTGGGAGGACAGAAGAGTCTGTCAGATCCCCTGGAGTTATGGACAGTTGTTAGCTGTCATGTGGGTGCTGGGATTTGAACCCACGTCTTCTGCAAGGACAGTGTTCTTAACCACTGAGCCATCTCTCCAGCCCCACAGAAATTTTTTTAATTAAATTTTTTTGTCTTAAAATTTTTTTTATGGGCCAGGCATGGTGGCACATGCCTTTAATCCCAGCACTTGGGAGGCAGAGGCAGGCGGATCTCTGTGAGTTCAAGGCCAGCCTGGTCTACATAGTGAGTTCCAGGACAGCTGGGGCTACAGGGAGACCCTGACTCAAAAAGACAAAAAAAAAAAAAAATTTTTTTATCTAGGCCAGGCGTGGTAGCACATGCCTTTAATCCCAGCACTTCGGAAGCAGAGGCAGGCAGATCCCTGTGTGTTTGAGGCCAGCCTGGGTTCTAGGCCAGCTGGGGCTATAGGGAGATCCTGTCTCAAAAGGGAGACCAAAAAAAAAAAAAAAAATCTATTTTTTTTTTTTTTTATCTTTTGTGTATGTGTGTTTTGCTTGCATATATGTAAATGCACCCATGTCATGCAATGCCTGTGGAAGGCAGAAATGGGGATCAGATCCCCTGGAACTGGAGTTATAGATGGTTATGAGCTGTTATGTGGGTGCTGGGAACTGAACCGGGGTCCTCTGCAAGAGGACTCAGTGCTCTTAACCACTTAGCTATCTCTCCAGCCCCATTGTTTTTTTGTTTTTTTTTTCTCTCTTTAGAGACAGGGTCTCCCTATAGACCCAGCTGTCCTGGAACTCACTATGTAGACCAGGCTGACCTTGAACTCACAAAGATCTGCCTCCCTCTGGAGCCTGAGTGTTGGGATTAAAGGCATGGGCCACCAAGCCTGAGTATTTTTCTCTCCTTTCATCACTATTTAACATGCTAGCTTGGAGCCTGGGAGGTGGCTCAGCAGGTAAAGGCACTTTCTGTCAAACCTAATGACTTGAAATCAATGCCTGGAACCCACATCATGGTGAAAGTAAAGAACTGACTCTCTCAAGTTATCCTCTGACCTCCACATGGCACATGTGTACACCCACATAAAATAAGTAAACATTAGAAAAAAAATTTATTTGGCCTAGAATTTGAGATCTTCCCACCTCAGTCTTCTGAGCTCTGAGATTTCAGCTGGTAGAAGGCTTGTGTTAATGAAATCACAGAGTCCCTGACCCAGTGCCTTAGCCTGTGCCTGGTATATATATGAGATCTAATCACTTTGTTTTGTATTTTTGTTTTATGGTGATACTGCAAATTATATACGAGGCAAGTCCTCTACCACTGAGTCAAACCCCAGTCACTCACTGGGGGATTCTAGGCAGGTGCTCTACCACTGAGCCATGTCACCAGCCCCTCACTGGGACATTCTAGGCAGGTGCTCTACCACTGAGCCATGTCACCAGCCCCTCACTGGGACATTCTAGGCAGGTGCTCTACCACTGAGCCATGTCACCAGCCCCTCACTGGGACATTCTAGGCAGGTGCTCTACCACTGAGCCATGTCATCAGCCCCTCACTGGGACATTCTAGGCCACAACCCCACCCCCAACCCCACTACTGTTACAATGTAATAAGCTTAGGTGTTAGATGAAGAAGTTAGCACACTGTTGAGCTGTAGACCAGTCCAGTTCCAGCAGGAATCCCTTATCACCCACCTCTGACCACCTTCTTCCTCACCTAAGGCTCCATTGAGATTCTGGAAGATCCGGGATTTATGGTCCAAATTAAGTTTGAGTTTCTCCTGAATGGGAAGAGATGAAGTGGTTGGTTAACTGAAGGGGGTCAGGGGACACCATATCTTTCTCTAACACCCATCATGCCTTGCTTCCATTCAACCTCGGGGGTGCCCTTATTCCCTGCCCTTCCCTACCCTCAGCCCTGGGTCCAGGTACAGCCGTGTGTAGAACAATTGATCATCGTCATCATCTTTGTATTTCCACTGACGGACAATTTGATGGATGATTGGGGCATATCCAATGAATCCTGGGGGACAGGAGAGAGGTAGACCCCAAGACTCTCATGGTTCCACTTGCCCTCTCCAACCCTCAGGCCCTCGGGAGCAGGCAATGCCTCACCACTCAGGGCCCCCTCTGTCTCTGGTACTTTCCCACTCACCACCAGAGTTGAGGAAGCGCTTCCCAGTGCCCACCTCAGGGTACTGTTCTGCCAGCCCCCACTCTGGCCAACAGAAGCTCTCAGCAGAGAACAGGAGGCGGCTTCCACTCTGAACAAACTTCTTCAGCAGCTCTGAGGGGCTGCCAGCCAGAATCACATCATAGCTGGGCAAGGAAAGGGAAGATAAGCAGGAGGCCACCAGGAGCCGCAGTATCCTTTTCTCTCTTTATGCTCGCTCTTCCCCTCTGAGACCCCCTTTACCTGTCTACAAACATGATGACCATGTCTTCTCTGTCTTGGTATTTCTCCATTTCCTTCTTTAGCCATCTGACCTTCTGGCCTCCTCCAACTGTTCGTGCCACATCACCCCCTCGCCACTCCTGCCCCAGGCCGAGGGTCTGTGGGGGAAGACCCCATCCCCATGCCAGGGAGTTCACTCATGGGGACTCAGGCACCCAGGATGCAACTTCTCCCAGGAGTCCCCTACTCACCCGTACAGTATAGTTAAAGAACTCTGCCGACTGCAGAAAACGCCGGTATCCCTCTGTCTCTGCCGTGGCCACAGTGATTATGAGCAATTTGTCTGTCACAAGCCGGGAATTGGCACTTGAGACCCAAGAGCTCTGCGTCCCACGTGTTTATCCCTGTGTGCTCCCTATCACGACTATTTTTCCCAGTTCCCTTTTTAAATTCTTCCCATCCAGGGCTATCTGGACCCCAGCAAAGGTGGGGTGAGAGTAACATACAGGAATGTGGGAGGGATCTGTTTGCTTGGGGAGGCTGGAATCCTTAGTTCAGAGTGGGGTGAGGAACTGGGTCAGGGGGAGACTGGAACCTGGAGCGCCTGACTCTGGTTCCCAGGCTGGCAGTAGGGTAAAGCCCTGTGCCCACCGGCTTTCCCGGGGTTCTCACCTGGGTTGACAGCGTTGGCGCCCCGGGGACGATCGGAGGCAGGGGTCACAGGCAGAAAGAGCGGAAGCAGCAACAGCAGAAGTCGGGGTCCCCAGCTGGTCCGAGCCATGGTCGGGCGCAGGCTTAGGCAACACCCAGGCCCGCACAGGGCTGAGCTCAGCGCCTGAACTCCAACTCAGGGAGAAGATTCTGGGAAAGGGGAACCTGAGCTGCAGACCCGCCCGCTGAACGGAGGAGCAGAGCTGGGTGGGACTCCGCCCTGGAAAACAAGGCGTAACCGGAGGCCACAGAAAGCCCGAGATGCAGACTGCGAGACAAGGCCAGGATTGTCCCCGGGGCGCCGGCCGCGTGCATGGGAGCTCCGGGGACGCCGGGGATGGGGATGGGGATGGGGATGGGGAGGAGCCCGAGCTGGGGCTGGGGGCGGGTGGGCTGTGTCCCCTCCCCATGAGGAATCCGAAACTGGAGAGTGGACTGTGACTCTGGGGAGGGTCCAAGCACGTGGGGGAGGGTCTTGGCCACTGCCCTGTGTGGAAGATGGGAGAGGTAGGCCGTGGGGGCGCGCGGAGCGGCGGTGATAGGCAGGGAGATGCCGGGGAGCTGGAAGTGGGTCGCCTCTGGACTGCTGCGTGTGGAACTTTGTAGAAAGAACCACTCAGAACTTTCGGGGTGGCCCATTCCAGCCTGGGCCATCTCTCACTGTAGGGACAAAGTCCAGAGCTGGTCACTGGCCCCTGCAAAACGACCCAAGACAATTACGTTCCTCTACGGACCAGTTCCACCACTCTTTTGTTACGGTTGAGGTACGGATTTTTTCTTTTAGGTCTCCCTGCTGCCCTAGCTGGTCTGGAACTTGCTATATAGACCCGGCTGGCCTCGAACTCACAGAGACCCGCCTGCCTCCGCCTTCCGAGTGCTGGGATTAAAGCTGTACACCTGGGACCACTTTTTAAAAAGTGACCCCATTGCAAAAAGGTCTCAAATTTTTGCACAGCCACAATGAAACTGGAAGTAGGTTTGCCCCTATCAAAGATGGCGGAAAGCTTGCTTATCTCCAAGGAAAACACCACGTCGTGACGCCAAAACGGTGCGGGAATGACTTTGCTCATGCGCACAAGCTTACGCCAACACCGGAAGGGATGGCTGTTTGACCAAAGTGGGTGGCTTAGTACGCGTGCGCAATAGTCTCTTCCGGCAGCTGTTTACACAAATGGTGGAGAAGAAACCCTCTGGTAGGTGAGCCTTAGCGGTTCGCCCTTTTCCGCATCCCAAGTTCGAATCCAAACTGATTTCCTCTTCCGGTTATTTGTGTCAAATCCCTTCACAGGCTTTCAGGCCCCAGCGTTGGGGCGATCCACGAATCATTCATGTTTTATTGGTACCTACTGTAAACCAGGCGCTGGGGATGGAGAGGGAGAAAGATCTTGGCCATTCCAGAACCTGAGTGCGGTAAAGAGTGGTACCCAACCCAGCTTCCGGGATGGAGGAGACAGAGAAAGCTTAAGAAATCAAAAGTCTGGACTTGAGCGTCCCTACCCCTCCAACCTACACCCCAACTTCATCCCCCTGTAATTTCTTTAATTTTAATTTTTAAATGTTTCGTTTGAGACAGTCTCACAATGAAACCCCAGCTGGCCTGGAACTTGCTATGTAGACCAGGCTGGCCTCGATCTCCCTGGGATCCACCTGCCACTGCCTCCCCAGTGCTGGGATTAAAAGTGAGCTCCACCACACCGGGATGTTTTAGATTGAGCCTTAAGTATTTAGTTATGGTTTTTCTCACTGGGAGTTCAGAACTTCTCCGAGCTGAAACCGCAGGAGCCATGGGGAAAGCTGGGAAAAGCAGTTCACTTAGGAAGAGAGGTTCATAGTTTGGAGAGAAATAGTAACAGAAACTGGCCTGCTGGGGAGAGGAGTCTAATTATGTAGCCCAGGCTGGCCTCAAAAGTCAAAGCCCCATCTGCCTTGTCTTCTTAAGTGCTGGGATTAGCAGACTGGATCATTTAGTAGAGTACTTGGCTAATGTGTGTGAGGCCCTGAAGTTGGTTCCCTGAAAAACCAAATGTTGGGATTATGAGTTTGGATTACTGTGTCTATCAAAGACTTTTAATTATATTTTTATTTTATGTGTATGAGTGTTTTGCCTGCATGTATGCAATGCATGCACCACATGCATGCAATGCCTGAGGAGGCCAGAAAAGGGTGCTGGATTCCCTGGAACTGGAGTTACAGATGGTTGTTAGCTGCCATGTGGGTGCTGGGAACTGAATCTGGGTTCTATGCAGGTGCAGCCAATGCCCTTAACTGCACAGCTATCTCCAGCCCCCTCCCTCCCCCCAGAATGTTATCCTGTCCTTCAGTGGAGGACATTAGTCAGATTTCAAATATACAGTGAATTTTGGTCTTATTGAATCTCAGTCTAAATTCATTCATTTGTTCATTTATTACAGGACTGGGAATTGAACCCAGGACCTTTCACATGCTAGCTAAGTGTTCTGCTACTGAGCTACATCCCCAGCTCTATTAAAAAAAATGGTGTGTGTGTGTGTGTGTGTGCATTTTTTGAGATAGGCTCTCCTTGTAGCCCCACTAGCCTTGAATTCACTATGTAAACCAGGCTGGCCTCAATTTCACAGAGATTTCCCCTGCCTCTGCCTTCTGGTTGCTGAAATTAAAGGCATGTGCCACCATTCCTGGCTTTTAAAATATTTTTATTGACAATTTCATACATGTATATAATGTGCTTTGGTCATATTCGCCCCCCATGACCCTCTCTTATTTCCCTCCCATCTCCTCTGGACCCTTTATTCTCAACTGATTCCTCCTCTTGCTTGCTTTTTTTTTGGGGGGGGGTCTTTTTGAGACAGGGTCTCCCTGTAGCCCCAGCTGGCCTGGAACTCACTATGTAGACCAGGCTGGCCTTGAACTCAGAGATCCGCCTGCCTCTGCCTCCCCAGTGCTGGGATTAAAGGCATGCACCACCACACCCAGCGCTTTCATTTTTATTTTATTTTTATTTTATGACTCACTGAATTATTTTTTTAAGTATTTATTTATTTTATGTATGTGTGCCTGAGTGTATAAATAAGTACCTTGTGTGTGCAGGAGTCCACTGAGATCAGAAGAGGGTGTTGGATACCCTGAAACTGGAGTTACAAGTAGTTAGTTATGAGTTGCCATGTAGGTGCTGGGAACCAAACCTGGGTCCTCTGCAAGAGCAGCCAGTGCTCTTAACCACTGAACCAGCTCTCCAGCCCGACCCACTGAATTTCACTAGGGTCGTTATCATGAGCATGAGAGTGGGATTATTTACTGCAGCATGACCAGCCTGTTTTCATTTTTTTTGAGATAGATTCTCACTAAATTTTCTTAGGCTGGATTTCAATGCCTGTAGTGTGGGCTAGCATTGAACTTTCAGTTTTCCTGCTTCAGCCTCCCAGGTAGCTGGGATTGTAGGTCTGTACCACTAGACCTAGCTTTTATAAAAAAAAATTTTTTTTTTGGTCCTTTGAGACAGGGTCTCCCTGTAACCCCAGTTGGCCTGGAACTCTCTATGTAGACCAAGCTGGCAGAGATCCACCTGCCTTTGCCTCCTGAGTACTGGGATTAAAAGTATGCACCACCACCCCCAGCTTAAAACAGTTTAAAAATTTGTTTATTTAATATTTACTTATGGATGCACACATGCCACAAGTTGTATATGGATGTCAGAGAGCAACTTTCACAACTCGTTTTTATTTTTTGTTATTTATTTTTTGACAAGGTCTCACTGTATTGTCCTGGCCGGCCTGGAACTGTGTAGACCGGGCTGACCTCAATCTCACAGAGATCTGCCTGTCTCTGCTTCCCAAATGCTGGGATTAAAGACATGCATCACCACCGCAGCTATTACTTAATGCAGTTTGTGGGAATGAGTTCTCTCCTTCCACCATGTGGGTCCTGGGGATCAAATTTGGGTTGTCAGGCTTTTTGGCAAGTGCCTTTACATGGGGTGCCATCTTTTTTTTTTTTTTTTTTTTTTTTTTTTTTTAATAAACATTTTCACTCCAAAGGGTTGGATGAATCTGTGGATATGGAACCCATGGATACAGAGGGCTGACTGTTAGTGTCTGCCTCATCCTAAGTCTCTTAATAGTGCCCGATGTGGTGGCACTAAAGGCACATGCCTTTAGTCCCAGCACTCCAGAGGCAAAGACAGGTGGGTCTCTGTGAGATCAAGACCAGCCTGGTCTACATAGAGGGTTCCAGGACAGGGCTATATAGTGAGATTCTGTCTCAAACAAAGAAAAAACACAAGTCTCCATAAAGTAACTATTGTTACTACTGCCACCCTTGTTATCTTTAGTGGTTAATAAGTATTTGTCTCATGAGCAGAGATACTTTGTGTGGAATTATCAGAACCTGGACCACAACTGACACAGTCATGAGGAAGATATTTCTGTGTCTCCTGGGTTTCTGGCATGGATCTCCACCTGACTCCATTAGGAATCTGTCAGGGGAAGCAGGCCAGATGGAAGGAGAGGATCTGCATTGTAGTTGTAGAATAATAATCTGGGTCAGTCCTGCAGCCTGTTCTGTGGTATGGGATGGTTCTGGCCCAAGGCTGGCATAGTAGGAGTGATTTGCTTTGGGATGACAGCTTCGTGTTTGGATTAGAGATACCAAGAATGGGCAGGTGAGATGACTCAGCAGGTAAAGGTGCTTCCTTTGAAGCCTAACAAGCTGAGTTCAGTCCCCAGGAAGGAGAAAGAGAGCACCAACTCCTGCAAGTTGTCCTCTGACCTCCGAACACATGCTGCAAGGAGGAATGTGCACAAATGCACATAAACTAAATCAAATTTAAAGAAAGAAATGCTAGGAAGAAGGGCTTAGGATGTGGCTCGATTTGTAGAGTGCATTTCAAGGGCTCACGAAGCCCTCGGTTCAATTCCCACATAAACCAGGTATGGGGGTGCATACCTGTAATCCCAGCACTCAGGAGGTAGAAGCAGGTGGATCAGGAATTTAAGGTCATCCTCAGCTACCTAGTGGGTTCCAGGTCATCCTGGGCTACATGAGACCCTGTCAAAAGAAGTAAGGGAAAGCAAGCAGTGGAAAAAAGGGTATTAACAAAAAGAGGACAGACAGGCAAAGATGGCCCAAGTATGAGGGGACTTCAGATTCGAGACAAGGAAGCGTAGCCGATGAGGGAGGAGGACAGCTGGGAGTGTCCCCAGGGAACAGAGGGATTCTTTTACTCCAAGGAAGGTGATCAATGCAGTCACAGGGTATAGAGATGCATCTCAAGCTGATGGAACATTCTAGAAATGCACACTGGATTTTGCCCTAGGAGGTCACAGGTATCCTGAATGTGTGTGTTTGTGTAGGCCAGAGATCAATATTGGGTATCCTTCCTCTGTCAATCTCCACTTTATTTTTTTATTTTATTTTATTTTTTTTGGTCTTTTTGAGACAGGGTCTCCCTGTAGTCCCAGCTGGCCTGGAACTCCCTATGTGGACCTGGCTGGCCTTGAACTCACAGAGATCCGCCTACCTCTGCCTCCGAGTGCTAGGACTAAAGGCGTGTGCCACCATGCCCGGCTTCCACCTTATTTTTTAAGATTTTATTTTTAATTATGAGTGGGGTGTGTGTGTGTGTGTGTGCACACACACACACAAGGGGACTGCTGGCAGAGACGTTGGACCCACTGATGCTAAGAGTTACAGGCAGGTATGAGCCACCTGACATTGGTGCTTGGAACCAAACCTGGGTCCTCTGCAAGAGCAGCCATTGCTCTTAACCACTGAATCATCATTTCTCCAGCCTTCTACCTTAGTCTTTGAGATGACAGACTCTCAGTGAATCTGGAGCTCACCTGTTTGTCAAGACTAGCTAGCCAGCAAACCTGAGGGATCCTCCTGTCTCTACTCCCTTAGGGCTGGGGTTTCATCCACTGCTGTACCAGCCTTTTACATGGATTCTGGAGATCCAGACTCATGCCTGCATGGCAGACATTTTAAGACTGAGCATCCCTGCAGCATCTCATCCATCCAGTCACTGGATGGGTCACCAAGTAGTTAGGGTCTAACTGAGATAGTAGGAAATTTTGCTTTTTAATTTTGACCCCTTTGTTTTGGGCTTTTATTATTATTTTTAAATTATATCTAGTTTATTTCATGTGTATTTGTGTGGATGTGCATGTGCATGTGGAGGTCAGAGAACAACTTGTAGGAGTCAGTTCTCTCCTTCCACCATGTGGGTCGTGAGGCTTGAACTTGGGTTGTCAGGCTTGACATCAAACCTCCTTTACCTGCTGAGTCCTCTCGCTAGCCCATGTTTTGGGAGCCATTATTGTGTTTGCAATTACTGCTGGGCCTGGAGGGCTAGAAGTTAACATGAGGGGCTAAAAGACTTAGCTGGGAAGCAAGCAGGGCCAGGAGCTGGGAACTTCCCAGAGCATAGTGATTGGGATGCGACCAGTGGTCTGTGGCTCCAGGCCCTGCTGTCCCAGCATTGTTTCCTTTACACCCCATAACTCTCTTCATCCTCCCATATCTAGTTCGCTCCCAGGATCCTGGACAGCGTCGGGTGCTGGACCGGGCTGCTCGGCAACGTCGGATCAACCGACAGCTTGAGGCCTTAGAAAATGACAATTTCCAGGATGACCCCCATGCAGGCCTCCCTCAGCTAGGCAAGCGGCTGCCTCAGTTTGATGATGACGCAGAAACAGGTGAGGCGGGGGGCAAGGGGTGTAGAAAATGTAACTGAAATGAGAGCCACTTTGCTGCCTGTCAGTTGGGGATGCCAATAAGCAAGGATGGAAATTGAATGGTTACTTTATTTTTCACCTTGAATGTGGTGGTTGTGTGTGTGTGTGTGTGTGTGTGTGTGTGTGTGTGTGTGTGTACTCATCTACATGCCATGGTGTGTGTATGGAGGTCAGAGGACAACTTATGGGAATCAGTTCTCTCTACCTTGTGGGTCAGGGAATCCACCTTAGGTCCTCAGACTTGACAGCAAGCACCTTTACCCGCTGAGCCATCTCACTGGCCCAAGTGTATCTTTATAATACAAAATATGAAAATATCCCTGTCATTGTGCCAGAGTAGACAAGGCTGAGGGAAGGGGTCAGACCATGGAAGATCACTTGGGAAGGGTCCCAGCAGGCAGGCAGCCTGGGACTACTACTGGCTACTGCTAGCTACTTCGTGTCCCGCTCCTGTGCTGGGAACAGCTAGCTGCTCGCCTCTCTATGACTCAGTTTCCTCATGTGTGTGGAGTAAAAAAGATGGAGTAGCCAGGTATAATGGTGTAGGCCTAGAGTCCCAGTCACAGGAGGTGGAGGCAGGAGGAATGCCAAGAGTTTGAGGCTAGCCTGGTCTACACAGTGAGTTCCAGGCCAGCTTGGGTTATTATATCTTAAGACCTTATGTTAAAAAACAAAAAGCTAGCTGGGCATGGTGGTGCACGTCTTTAATCCCAGCACTCAGGAGGCAGAGGCAGGCGGATATCTGTGAGTTCAATGCCAGCCTGGTCTACAAAGTGAGTTCCAGGACAGCTGGGGCTACAGGGAGACCCTGTCTCAAAAAGACCAAAAAAAAAAAAAAACAAAAACCAAACAACCCCCCCCCCCCAAAAAAAAAAAAACCAAAAAGCAGAACTGGAGAGATGGCTCAGCAGTTAAGAGCACTGGCTGCTCTTGCAGAGGACCTGGGTCAGGTTTCCCAGCACCCACATGGCAGCCAACAGCTGTCTTTAACTCCAGTTCCAGGGGATCAGATGCCCTCTTCTGGTCTCCTCAGGCACTGCACACATGTGGTACACATATACATGCAGGCAAAACACTCATATACATAAAATAAATAAATTGGGGCTAGAGAGACGTCACCATGGTTAAGAACACTTGCTGTTCTTCCAGAAGACTCAGGTTTGAGTCCCAGAGCCCACATGGCTGCTAACAACTCCAGTACCAGGGAATCTGACACCCTCCTTGATCTCCATAGGTATTGCATGCATGCTTGGGTATACCTACCTACATGCAGGCAAAACACTAATACACATAAAAAAAAATAATTTTAAAAAATCAATAAATAGTCAAGAAATAATTAAAAAGAAAAAAAGAATACATTAACTGGCTTCCTAGTTGTTTGCTGTCCCATAGGCAAAATTGTGTTCTTGTCCAATTCAGATGTAACCGGTTCCTCTGCTAAGAATTATATAGGCATGAACTCAGAGATCATTGGTCTTGATTCTTAGAGAAAAACCAGAAGGAAAAGCACTGTTTACTCTTTGGTTCTGACACTTTTGCTTTTTGATACTGCCATTTAGGTGTCGTTATCTATGGTGAAATGTGTCTGACCCCCAATAAAAAAAAAATTATGAAGGACTGGGATGTAGGTCAGTTGTAGAGGCAGGAGGAATGCCAAGAGTTTGAGGCCAGCCTGGTCTACACAGGGCTTGCACAAAGCATGCTGGGCTCCATCCCAGCACTACATAAACAGGGTGAAGTGCACATGTCTGTAATCCCAGCCCTTGAGAGGTGGAAGCAGAAAGATCAGGAGTTTAAGGTCATCCTCAGTGACATAGTGAGTTCAGGGCCGGCCCGGGCTCCATGAGGACCTTTCTCCTGAAATAAAACGATGGAGGCAAAGAGCTGTAAGATGCTGGCAGTGGATCAGCATTGGAGAAGTGCAGAGCAGAGGCAGATGGGGAGGGGCAGAGACTGTATTCTTCACCACCTGTCTCAGGGGCCATCCAGCAGCTCATTGCCTTTGACCCCCAGGAAAGAAAAAGAAGAAAACTCGAGGTGACCATTTCAAACTTCGCTTTCGAAAAAACTTCCAGGCCTTGCTGGAGGAGCAGGTGAGAGAGGGGTCAGCCTTGGGGGAGCCATGGACAGTGAAGGGGTGAACCTATGCTCTTCCTGCCCTGATGGATGCCAGCCACACAGCAGGGTGGAGAAGTCACAGTGTCTGTGTCCCCCAACCCTACATCCCTGCAGAACCTGAGTGTGTCCGAGGGTCCCAACTACCTGACAGCCTGTGCGGGCCCCCCATCCCGGCCCCAGCGCCCCTTCTGTGCTGTGTGTGGCTTCCCGTCACCATATACCTGTGTGAGCTGTGGGGCCCGGTACTGCACCGTGCGCTGCCTGAGCACCCATCAGGAGACCAGGTGAGTTGAGCCACACCTACCTACACCCCCAGCCTCTTTCCATGTGGCCTCCCAGGACCACCTCCCCTCAATCAGTGAATCCCACCTCCCCTCTCTCTACAGGTGTCTGAAGTGGACAGTATGAATCTAGTATCGCAGAGAAGAAGTATTTCCACCCCCTACTCCCCTGGACAGTGTGATCTAACATCCCAGAGAGGAAGCATGTCCACGTCGTAGTCCAATGCCCAGTTCATTGGCAAGGACAGAGAAGAGCTGCCTACTGACCCAGCAGAGCCATGTCCTGCACACGAGGGAGGGCCACACACACCACTGAGACTTTTTCCTGTGGATCCAGCCCACAGAGCACTGAGATAATAAAAGGCCTGGCTGGAACAAAGAGCCTGCTGGTTTTTGAGTGTTTGTGGATGAGGGGTCAAGGTCCATTACTCATGCTAACTACCTTTTTTTTGGACAGGTCTCACTTTGTAGACCAGGCCAGCCCTGAACTCATAGAGTTCCACCTGCCTCTGCCTCTTGAGTGCTAGGATTAAAGGTGTGCACTGCCATCTGTGCCTTTATTTGCTGCTACTTTAGTTTGTTTTTTTGAGACAGAGTCTTACGTAACCCAAGCTGGCCTTGAACTCCATGTGTATCAGAGGGTGGCCTTGAACTCCTGACCTTCCTGCTTCCACCTCTCAAGTGCTGTTTTTTGGTAATTCTTCTTTTATATATGTCTGAACATGAATGAATATAAAATGAATATTTAATTTTAAAAAAAATATTTATGCCAGGCATGGTTGGCACATGCCTTTAACACTAGCACTTGGGAGGCAGAGGCAGGCAGATCTCTGAGATCAAGGACAGCCTGGTCTATATAGAGAGTTCCAGGCCAGCTGGCACTTCAGGGAGATCCTATCTCAAAGAAAAAAAATTATTTGTGTGTGTGTGTGCGTAGGTCAGATGATAGCTTTCAGGAGTCAGTTCCCTCTTTCCCCCTTGGTGAGGCAGGGGATCTCATTTCTGCCCCTCCCTCAGTATACTTCAGGCTAGCTAGCCCTGAGCTTCTCTGTGAGTCTTGTTTTCTCCCCCATCTCTCTTGCTATAGGAGTCCTGAGAGTGCATATGCAAGGCGTAGTGTCTGGCTTCTCATGTGGGTTCTAAGAGTGGAATTTAGTTCATCAGGCTTGCGTGGCAAGCACCATTACCCACTCAGCTGGCTCCCCAGCCAGTGTGGAGATTCGAAAGACCCTACATCCTCCTACAAATGGACCCTGAGCACTGATTTGGGGATCCAAGCAGGGGAGCACAACTACTTGTGTACCCTTGTCATGCCTCCTCTGTCCAGGGTGGTCATCCAGTTGATCACCTGAGCTCACAGCTTCCTTTAGGAGGGACACACATGAAGTGGGGAGGGAGGAAGGGGAGCCACACCTAGCCAGCCAGGTCAGCTGTGGTGTTCTGTGAGGTGCCGTGCTGTACCTCCATTGTCCTCACCTCCTATTGGTTGCTTTATGTTTTCTTCTTGAATATTTTTGAAAAGCATTTATTGTGTGTGTGTGTGTGTGTGTGTGTGTGTGTGTGTGTGTACCACACATGCATGTGTTATGTGTGTGTGTGTGTGTGTGTGTGTGTGTGTGTGTGTGTGTACCACATATGCATGTGTCGGTCAAAGAAAAATTTGCAAGCATCAGTTCTCTCCTTCCACCTATGGATCCAAGTACCAATCCAGGTTGTCAGGGATGGTAGTAATTACTCTGAACCTCTACCTCACAATGAGTTCTTTCTGGCTACAGTTCTTGGGTATTAATTTAGTTTAGGAAGTGTTTTAAAATTTCTCTAGGTCTCTGACTTCATTTTCCATTTTCTCTCTCTCTGATAGAACCCAGAGTACTGCTCTAGATACTCTACCACTGAGCTATGCCCCCAGCCCCTCACTGGGGAGTATAGGCAGGTGCTCTACCACTGAGCCACACTCCCAGCCCCTCACTGGGGGATTCTAGGGAGGTGCTGTACCCTGAGCCATGCCTCAGAACCTCACTAGGGGATTCTAGGCAAGCACTGTACTCCTGAGCTACATCCCCTGCTCACTTTTTTCTTTTGAAACTGGGTCTCAACTCACAATCCCCCTGCCTTAGCCTCCCAAATAACTATGACTACAGGTATGTACCCAACAGGGCCAGCCCTCTGAGTATTTTCTACTAGGTTCAAGGGCTGGGTAATAGAGAAGTGGGATGATGTATAGTAATTGCCTGCAATCCCAGCACTTGGAAGGCAGAGGCAGGAGGATTTCTGTGAGTTCAAGGCCAGCCTGGTCTACATAGTGAGTTCCCGTGAGCTGGGACTACAGGGAGACCCTGTCTCAAAAAGACAAAAATAATAATAAATAAATAAATAAATAAATAATAAAGGAAAGCACAGGCCAGAACAAGCCAGTATGCAGTGTTCCTCTATACTTCATCTCCTGCCCCGGCTTTGCTCAGTGATGAACTGTGACCAGATGTAAGATAAAATCAGCCCTTTCCTCCCCAGCTTGGTTTGGTCAGTGTTTTTATCACAGCAATAGAGAGAAACTAAGTCAGAAATGAAACAGCAGGATGTTTGTTCTAAGGGGAGGTGAAACAGTATATCCTGCAGGGAAGGGCCTTAACTCAGGAAGTAAACTGCTCCATAGTGCCCTCCCCAAATGTATATAATCTATAAAGACTGCCAAAACACACTCAGACCAGACCAGCTTGCTGGAAGAGGCTCAGACCAACTGAGCCTGGAAAAGACACTCTCCAACCTGTTGAGCTGTTTGTAGGTTGTGCAGTGAGCTACAGATTCCTAGCTTTCCTGAGGTGTCACTCATGCTGGGATGGGCCTTTTGGTGATACAGCTATCTTTGAGTCATTTCTGCAACTCTAAGTAATCCCTCACCCATACTTCTGTTAAGATACCCCACTAAAACTCTGGTTCACCAGGTTGGACTTGTGTGATGTCCTTACTTTGGTCTTGTTGGTTCTCTATCTGGGGTGAGTAGATGTTTGCTTATGTAGCCCCAAGAATAGTGTCACTCAACAGGTGAGGACTGGGAATGGTGCAACATTATACTATGGGACAAGCTGGTCCTGTCTGATACTTAACCAACTGGGAATGATCAGGTGAATGCTTGTCCCTGGCTACATATGTGTGGGAGCAGCTGTCCTTAGGAAGCCCCTGCATTCAAAAGTGGTATGTGAAATAACCAGCACAGATACCAGGCATAGTGGCGCACACCTTTAATCTCAGCACTCAGAGGGCAGAGGCAGGTGGATCTCTGAATTCCAGGCCAGCCTGATCTTCATAGCAAGTTCCAGGCCAGTTGGGGCTATAGAGAAACCCTGTCTCAAACAAAAACAAACAAATTCCAGGCATGGTGGCATGCACCTTTAATCCCAGTCCTCAGGAGGCAGAGGCAGGTGGATCTCTGTAAGATCTGGTTCACTCTGTGACTTCCAGGCGGGCTGTGATTATGGGAACCCTGTCAAAAAAACAGTCAATAACCCCGCCCCCCCAAAAAAACAAAAACAAAAAGAAAAAAAATTACCTGCACAGGAGCCCCGGGTATTAGTCTAGAGGCTTGTGGCCCTGGGGGCTGGCTGCTAGGCGCTTGCAGAGGCTCAAACTCACAAGTTGTCTAAGTGGATTGCAAACTATAATCTCATAAGCTTATTGGAATTGCTCTGTTAAACCCCCAGCACAGCAGGGGCATCCTATTTGTTGAACAACTGACTTTAACAAGCTACTAATGAGTTCCAGCAAAGTTTAGTTTTTTAAATGATTTTTTAAATATTTATTTTTATTTTATGTGCATGAGTGTTTTGCCTGCGTGGATGTAAATGTACCATGTGCATGCAATGCCTGTGGGGACCAGAAGAGGGCATCAGATCCCCTGGAACTGGAGTTAGGGATGGTTGATAATTGCCTTGTGGGTGCTGGGAACTGAACTCAGGTCCTCTGTAAGAGCAGTCAGTGCTCTTAACCAGTGAGCTATCTCCAGGCCTACCCCTCCCCGCCGCCTTTAAAAAAAAAAAAAAAAAAAAAAAAAAAAAAAAAGACAGGTCTCACTATATAGCCCTGGCTGGCCTGGAGCTCACTATGTAGACCAGATTGGCTTCAAACTCAGAGACCTGCCTGCCTCTGCCTCCCAAGTGCTGGGATTAAAAGCCTGTGCCACCATACTCAACAGTGAAGTTTCTTGAGACAGGTCTGTCATTGACCTGCAACTCACTCATTGGGCTAGCCTAACTGACCAGTGAGCCAGGGGCACGCCTGGCTATACACCATCTACATACCAGCTATATGGCAAGGAACAGCCATTCATTTCTGTCTCTAGTGTAGCCACCACCCAAGTGGAGCAAGGATTGAGACTGAACCTTGCGCAGTGCCCCCTCCACTGAGTGTTCAGTAGTGACAGCTACCGTGACACTGCCCAACACCCAGAGTAGTTTGTTGGACTTTATTTTCAGCTTCCTCCATGAAGCAGATCAGACCCCTTGGCCATCAGATAGTTACCTACTATTTACACCTGTATTTTCATCTAGTTTGAGTTCTTTGAGATTTAGGTTAAAGCTCTTTGCTGCCCATCGTAGCTTCCAGCAAGAAACTTGGCATGAGCATCGAAGGGTGAATGCAGAGCATGTGGTGGCACATGCCTACCATCCAAGCACTTAATGAGACTGAGGCTGGAGGTCTGCTGCAAGTTCAAGGACAGCTCAGGCTACAGTGGGAGAAATGCTGTCTCAGAAAAGGAAATTAAAAAGGGCTAGAGAGACTTGAGATCACCGGCTGCTCTTGCAGAGACCTGGGTTCAGTTCCCAAAACCCACATTGTAGCTGACAACCATCTGTAACTCTAGCTCCAGGGGATCCAATGCCCTCTTCTGGCCTCGTGGGCATATGTGCATACAAGCACACAGACACATACATATAAGTAAATAATAAAATCTTGAGGAAAAAAAAAAAACCCAATAGGCATGGTGGTGCATGACTTTAAATCCCAGCACTCAGGTGGCAGAGGCAGGCAGCTCTCTGAGATGGAGGCCAGCCTGGTCTACAAAGTGAGTTCCAGGCCAGCTGGGACTGGGGGGGCGGAGGAGGGGGAGGGCTGTCTCAAAACCAAAAGAAAACAAAATTAAGGACAGAGAGTTACTTCCCACTGGCCAGGGATATCCCAGCTGCTTCCAATTTCCTGGAGTGGGTGACTGAGCAGTAATTGGCCACCACCCTTTTTTTGTTTTTAATTTAAACAATTTTTATTTTATGTGTAACAGTGTTTTGCCTGCATGTAAATGCACCCATGTCATGCAAAGCCCACAGAGGCCAGAAGAGGGCATCAGTTCACCTGGAACTCGAGTTATGGACAGTTGTTATCCATTATATGGGGCCTGGGAATTACACCTGCGTCCCCTGCAAGAGCAGCCAGTGTTCTTAACCACTGAACCATCGCTCCAGCATCCTTTTCTTTTTGAGATAGGGTTACTATATAGTCCCAGCTGGCCTGTAACTCATACATAGACCAATTCTGCCTGTCTCTGCTGAGATTAAAGGCACAGACCCATAACACCTGGCCCTAGCTACCTCTGTTGAATTTACTTGCTTACTGTTTTGTCACGCTCCACATTATTCCCTTGAGACAGGGCCTCTCATGAAATGTGGATCTAGGCTGGCAGCCAACAAGTCCCAGCCACCCTCTTGTCTCCAGTCCCTGACAATGCTGGGGTTACAGGAGCATGACCACACCTAGCCATTTAAATTTTTAATTTTATTTCATTTTTATTTCATGTGTATGTGTATTGCCTATATGTATATATATGCACCCATGCAGGCAGTGGCTGTGGAGGCCAGAAGAGGGCATTGGATTCCCTGGAGCTGGAGTTATAGATGGTTGTTAGCCACCATGTAGGTGCTGGGAACCAAACTGGGGTCCTCTACAAGAGCAGCCAGTGCTCTTAACTGAGCCATCTCTCCAGCCCCTATACCCATCTGTGCTGGATAGCTTTAGTGTCAACTTGACACACCTGGGTTGAGGGAGCCTCAATCGGGGAATTGCCTCTATTGGACTGGCCTGTGGCCATGTCTGAAGGGCATCTTCTTGATGAGTGATGTGGGAGTGCACGCGGCCCACTGTGGGTGGTGCCACCCCTGGGCAGGTGGGTCTATGTTGGATAAGAGACCAGGCTGAGCAGGGGCCAAGGGAGCAAGTGAGTAAGCAGAGTCCCTCCATGGCCTGTACTCCAGCTCCTGCCTCCAGGATGAACACAGATGAACTGTGACCCAGGAGATGTAAGATAAAATAAACCCTTTCCTCCCCAAGTTGGTATTGGTCAGAGTATTTTGTC